GGTGCTTTTCTAGATTATATTGCTCTGTCTGGAAATAAATACTGCAGATGTTTTTTTGGTGGGACCATAAATATGTTGTGGATCGTGACTCATCTTCAGGATTTCAATTATGTGCAGTCATTTTAATTCGTCAAATAAAGTGTAGACATAGACAGTAAGTAACAGATGGGTGGTAGGATGAAGCATAGGTGGATTGTATCAACAGAGCTCCTTGTTTTTGGTTTAATCATTATTTTCACAGCAGTAAATGGTGTTCATACAGTTTTATAGAATTTTCATATTTTACAGATGAGGTTGGCCACTTAAATTGTATTTCATTGTTGAAATAATGTGGACACTACTACTATATGCAGTGAGTATAAGTGAAAAAGTCTTTAAACTAGTCCTTCCTATTGGCATCACTAAGATATGCTGGAGGAGAATATATTAAATGAATGAAAAGGGGCCCTTATAATTTGAATCCTTTTTTCGACCAATCAGGATGCTGCGTGGGTGAGTATGGGCGGGTCTGACCACTGCTTGTCTTTAAAAAAGTTTCACCCTCTCTTTCGAATTTGCAAAGTAACTGACATTCATTTTAATTGCTGCACTATCATCTATCTTTACTATCAACTAACAGGAAAGAAAATTCTGTTACGTCCAAACATGTTCTACTCTCTTACATGCTCACTTTATTAGGCGTAATTATCGTCACTTTTAATTGATTCTTCGACACTGCAATGCGGCATGCATCTGGGAGGACAATACAAAGGACATTAGTGCTTGCAACATGCTTTGTGAGTGTCGCACCTTGAGAAATCCACTCACAAACAACAACAAATCCTGTGTCTCTGTTGATGTTGAGCGTGCAGCTGGAGTTTCTCCACATTAATGCTATTCCCTCAAGCCTGCGATCTTGTGCAAATGCAAATGACAAGCATGTGCATATTCATAGATGAAAAATAGAGCCCTCATCCATCCTAATAACGCCATCTTCTATGCGATTGTCCCCTTAGCACAGAAGCCGAGCCACTGCCTGGTTTGGGAAGGCTGGGTTTGCATGTTCTTAAGCTATAGGGAGAATACAATCCATAAATATCTATAGAGTGTTTGCCTTTTAATGTCAAATTAAAGTGGCTATCTTTAACACGCACCTTCGCCGGGCAGCTTCCATCATCACGACGCAGCTGTAAGGACCCAAAATGGGATGCGGAAAAGGAAGTTGACTTCTGAAGAGACGAGAAGTTGGAGCAATATAAAGGCCCGTATAGTGCCTTACTCTGATTGAATCAATTGCTGTGTGTAAGGAGGTGCTGGTGGCCATCTCCCCAGGGTGACAGACGGGTTCGCCAGCCATCCATAACCGCCGAGCGAGACGGGGATTAACCAGGCTCATGCATCATAGCTGTGGCAAGCAAGTGATGTGCAACAGAATGTATTTATTGACTCATTGGCTGTATTGATTTTTTTGCAATTGTTGAAATACTCCAGGGGCAGCGGTGGAATGAAACAATGAAAAGTGATGTAGTGTGAGAAAGAGAGAGAGAGAAAAATAATTGCGGCTTTGTCATGTTTGATATACTTAAAACTTCGTAGTTATTTTTACCTTCCTATGATGTCATCAGTCTGCATTTGATAAAAGTTGACATTATTGTAAGAGAGCATTATTATTGTTAAGTGAATTTGCTAACTAATAGTATTACAGGCCATTGTGGAATAAACGTAAGACTTTCTCATAATTAGCTAATGTCATTATCCGTGTATTGTCGTTTTGTGATTCTTTGTTTTATTATTACGAGATTTTTTTGATGAATAATAGAGCAGTCATTATTAGTCATTAGCAGTCATAATTATAAAATAACAATTATAGCATGATCTTTTTCAAAAATAGGTTCAAATGTTAAAGCTGGCATACTTACCTTTATTTATTGATAACGCAAATGTGCATCGTTCTAAGACAAATCAGAACAAATCATGCTGTCGTTTTTTTTTTGTTGCAAACTCCCTGTGGGTCACTAATGGACACTTAGGGCTGCGCGCCAAATGGAACTACTAAACTGGATTTAATCACGTAGTTCTGCAATTTGAGAGTTAGGTACCCCAGCTTTAAGGACACCCCACTGGAACACATTCAATTACAGAAGTTGTAATAATTTTAACATTATCCGTACACGTTTTGGATGAGATTGGATGTTTGTTTTCATTGGAACAAGGATATTATGAAATCTAATGGATTGAACAACAATTATTTCCATATTCCCGAGCCCTATAAAAGCGCAGATGTTTCCGGGGATGTGCTTAGTGGAATCAGAAAAAGAAAATAGTTCTTGGAATGAAAATTGCTTGAAAAACCCTCATTTTATGTAACTTCTCCCTGCTCTCCCCTGAAGGATATCCTTGACGGTGAAATTCGGTGTGACATTGACATTGTTCCGGTGCGCAGAGGTTTATTTAACAAGCCATTAATCTGGTAACGCCGGCTGAGTGCCACACAGCAGATGTTTGCTAACAAACTTGTGCCACGCTCTTGAACTCATTGGAATGTTTTACTGTGACAAGACGAGGGTCGGGGGGGCACTCGGGGTAAACAATGATTAAAGCTCCATTTACTGCATCGCGTCATCAACCGTCACCTCGGAGTCCAAAGGAGTGTCATCCTGCATCAAGCGTGTGTTTTGGATACTGTCAAGATCAAAGAGTTTTTGCGCTTTCACAGTAGTTTGTCTGTTTCTTTCTGATCCTCATTTGCACTAACTGTTGAACATGTGATCAATATGTTATAGATTAGAAAAGGCTTCCAATTTCTTTTTAAATAAAGTAGAAACATCTAAAACCCATAACTTTAAGACGTATACGAGGATTGTCCCAAATTTTAGGGAAAAATGCAAAAAATCCCACAACACTCTGGTCTTGTTGGTGAGAATGCACAATCGTTTTGATCCACCTAGAAAAAGAAAATACTAATGTTTAGCTTCAGGTGTTCACTGGATGAAGGGAATTATGGTGAAGCTTATTTGAAATAAAATCGAACTTGAGTGACTGTTGAGGTTACACATCTAAAGTAAAAGCAATAATATTTTGTCACCAGGATTTTTTTTTTTTTTCAAACTTTATTTTATTGCATCTTGCCTTCAGATATGCCTTAGATTGTTTTCCACAGAGATGGAAAACAATATCAAACAGGGCACATTTTTGCCATTGGCTTATTCCCATCAAATGTCTTGTTTTATAGTTGTGTGAATTGTGCTGCACAAATGAAGATAAGGCCACACATGTCTTGATACAGCAGGTTGGGCCGTACTTGAGGAACAATCTTTGGTTTATTAACACAGCGTACACCTGATGATAAATCGTTTCTCATGGTTGTCATAATAATAAGGCTAAGCAATGCTTCTTCCAGGTATTAATATGCACAGCTAACTCCTGATAAGGCTTGTCAATTCATTCTGACACTGCAGCATTCTGAGTGCACTATCATCAGTATGCAAATGCACAGCAGTGAAACAATCCAATTATTGAATGATGGCCGCTGTACATGAGCTTTCATACTGAATACACGTCCAGGCAATGAGCAACGGACAACCAGGGACTTGACACGGGCGAGATGAACATTTGGGTTAACTTACACTGACAATTGGAACAGATTGTTGAGGGGAACTCAAATAGATGTCAAAGTATCATGAACCATGGTGAAAGAGGAAAAAACGGCGACAAATCTCATTGTTTTCAGCTGTTGTTGCTGTGTGGGCGTGAGGGCAACAAAGAAACTACCAGCCTTACTCGGTCCTACTCTACTCTGCCCTACTCCACTTTACTCTACTCTACCCTGATCGGGAGCATTTCCACTGGCCCTTTTTAACCAATATCCTTGGCCCTGTTTGTTTCTAAACTGGATTAGAACCAGAGCCTCAGTTCTGGATCTACAGCCCGTCCGTCCGTGGAAGCAGATCCCTCTCTCAATGTGGACCCCCTCGAGGTTTCTCACCTTTTCCCACTGGATTTTAGAGTTGTTCCTTACCGATGCAGCAGGGTCTGTTGGACCCTTGTGAGGGTTTAACAAAAAGGACAGTGATGATCCAATCAACATTCAACGTATTTTATGTGTATTTACCATCATTTATGGACATTGGTCATCTGCCCCTTATGGACCAATGGCTCTATGTGTTTTATAATTGCATTTCTTGTGTTTGAACTGTTTGATTCTCTGATCTTTGTTGGTGAATTCAGCAGTGTTGTGTGTTTGAGGTTTTGAAAAGCTGTATTACCTAATTTCATAAAGCTTTGAAAACACAAATTGTTGTCCAAACAGATGGAGTTTTGTTTGAATAACATTTTCTGAACCACGACGACCTGCTTCATTGTCCTGCTGGGAAACATTTTGTCTCTTAAAATTTTTTGGCTGATTGGCTGAGAAAAGGCTGGTACTCACCCCACTTATTACACATTTATAACTAAATTCTACTACCACCATCAGCTTGTGTTTATGATGAATATTTTTTTTTAACAGAAGCGTTCCACCTGCCAGTGATTGACCAGAGTACTGCTGGAAGCCATGATTACCAAGGAATTTGCCAGGACACTGGTCTGCTGTGGGTAAGTTGCTTGGATGCGGTTCCAGATACTAAAGCGTAATGGACACTTCCAGGTAGTAGAGTAGAGTAAAGTAGAGTAGGCTCAAGAAGAGTAGGGTCATGTAAGGCTAGCGAAAACGGACCTCAAAGCTGTATGAGGTGTAAGAATATTTGCAAACCATCCAATGTCAACATTATCTGAACCCAAACAAAAGAGAATAAACCATCTTCTTTTTCACAAATATAAATATATTTAATGTCTTGTATGTACAATAATGATTTGCCATTATCATCAACATTAGTATTGAAGAGGAAAGCATATCAGTAAACTCTTGCTAATTGTTCTGTGTGATTGCAAGCGCTCTCTCTCCTCTTTGCAGACCAAGCTAGTTTTATTTGAGAAAGCTGGTGTTTTCGAGGCTGTTGTGTGCCATGCCAAGTATATTAGTGTCAGTCCTGAGCACTTTTGTGTTCATGTTCGGCCTCTAGCTCCCATTCAAAGTTCTGTCCAGTCATTTGGTAGAACATCATATTAAAGGGCTTATAGAACTTGTGCAGCCGCCGAATCACGTCTGGGTCGATTTTGGGATGAGTTCTGCCTTTGGATTTGCCCAGGCACCGAGGCATGCTGCTGTCCTCCGGTTTCTTCAGACAGGGGAATCCTTTCGTTTTATTGAAGTAAAAGTGTTTGTCTGTAACGATTCGCTTGAGTCCTAAAAAGTCCTGCACTTTGGCCATCTCTCCCGCCGGGTCCACGATCAGACGCTCCCCGCTCACAAAGTGCATCTGTGACAGAGGGAAATACTGCATCCACGTCTCTAAATGCAAGGCGTAAATCCCTATACGCAGAGCACTCCATGAGGCGTCAATTAGTCCGAGCGTCCGGTTCTTGAAAGCTAGAACCTCAAAAGTGGGAATCTCTGGCTTCTTGGACAAAGTTTGTGTGTAGTCCGAAATGGCTCTTGTTACAGGATTACGCACCACTATAATGAGCTTGATGTCCCGTGCCATGGTGTGAATGCGCTTAGGGGCATGGCTCGTCACAAAGTAGCTTGGCGTTTTCTCCATGGTGATTTGGCCCTCCAGCGTCGAAGGCATCAGGTCCCTGGAAGAAAAAAAACAGGGGAAAAATAGCGATTTAGTGACGGATCTGATTAAACCAAATTAGTGGTTGCTTTCGCAGTAAAACCAGCAACAATAAGATAGATGTGTCTTTTATGGAAGATATATTTCTATAAGCAAGGTACAGCAAGTTTATATATATAGCAGAGTTCATACACAAGGCAACTCAAGTGCTTAATAATCGCAGTACATCATCCTTCAGTAGTATGCTCAGCTAAACTGAACTGTTTTTAATCTAGACATGAACACAATTTTTAGGAAGACTCTTCCAGATTTTAGCTGACTCGAGGTACCAGCAGGAGGTCAGTCCCTGTGCACCTCAGAGTCCGAGTTGGTTCATATGGCACTAACATCAACTACATCCATCCAAAATAGAAACTAGGGAATGTAACCTTCAAATCACAACAAATATGTAATAACAAAAAAACATCTAACTAAATCTTCCCTTTCAAAACAGTTTGGTTCTATCACCATTTTAATTTGTTTCACAGAAGCGTGGTCCGCTCTCACTCAGCCAATCAGCTCTCAGCCCAAAGCAGTAAATCGTTAGTCAAAGAGCTCTTTATTAGTGTTATGCAAAAGATAAAATGTTTTCTAAAAAGAAAAATACAACTTGTTGCAGGCTGATTTATTCACAACATTTTACATTTGAAGTTGGAACACAGAAAATGTGCAAAGTTTGAATTGAAAGATGATAACATGCAGAGATGGGAAGGGTGACGGCTGGTGTGCTTCAAAGGTCTTGCTCAAACACCAAACGAGCAACAAAGTAAAGGCACACAATAATGCATTTGAACAAATTGGAAATAAATTGGCCTACAAAAAGTGCGATCATGAATTCCTTCTACTGCATATTTAGATTCAGTTTATGTGTCAATTGCAGTTAAAAACCACATTGGAATATTTACGCAAAATACCCAGTTTGCACAATAGACACACAAAAGAAGATTCAAACCCAACACATACTATCGGTGTGTCGACCAACCAACCAAAACTTTCAGCCATGTCTTTGCAAAGTTACACTCTGGGCCGTGCACTAAGGACAACTCTGCAGATTTGCCATATGGAGAAACATTATCTGGCATTACAAGTCAAAATATCTGTTGTTGTCACTGGACATTATAATGTGGAGGGGAAAACATACAGCTAATTACATCCACGGAGTAATACGCGCTTGATAAAAGAAGGGAGATGAAACGACACGCAAGCGAGCATGCTCATTGCTTAATTGACTCCATCTGTGTTACTCTAGGAGCTGTTTTGGAACTCTAATAATGAGTCCGCTGCATACCATTAATACCGGGGTGCCTGGGGTATTGTTTTGTCATACATTTATTATGCATGCAAGGCTCACTTCTCTCCGATAATTTCATTTCCCATGCAAACGCGTCAAGTTCTCCCTCTGCTTCTTGTTAGGGTTCGGGGCCATTCATTGAAGGCTACATTGTGATTAATTATGGAATTCAAGGTGATAATTTGTTGTACAATAGAGAAGTCTCCCCCCAGCGATGATCTTGTTGAAATTATACCAGGAATAAGGTTTGACCATGAATATTGTGCAAAGTGTAAGTTCTGCGCCCAGGCGATTCTATTTTTATACCCATGATAAAGCATGCTTCTTGCCTCAAGCAAATCCTTATCAAATGTTTACACTGATGCTCGTTCCAATCACTGCCGTTTTCTTTGTTCATAGGCTGTGTGATTCAGAGCTAAATTGGTACATTAAATCCTCCTGTGAGATGTCATTCATTTAACAGCTAACACACATCAATGCAATGCCACAGCAATTTCACACAAAGATGGAAAAGCCAATCCTGGTCTCTCTGTTGGAAATTAAGACATGTCTGCTATAAAATGAATGAGCAACCGACATCTATATATGAATAGAAAATATCCTTGTAATGCTGGGATGAAAGCTCTTTCTACCTTTTCCAATATTGCGTTCATATGAGGTTTCCCAGAGTTCTACGACCTGCTGCCGTGGCGACATACTCACATCAATCATTTGTATCTTGGACATATTCTAAATGAACTGTTCTCCAGCAAAGAATCCAATTTACCCAGAAAAACATAAGAGCTTTTATGCAAGTATCGACCACCCTCACGCACCCAAGGATAGCGCGCTCTGTCTCACAAGTGGTCTGGTAATTGCGTCTCAGTAACAGTATTGCCTTGCTGATGGGTAATTTCCCTGTGGATTATGTTTGTCTCTTGACACAGTGGAACTGTGGTTACTCCTTGGCCTGTAATGGGATATTAAACATATCTACAGATAGCACAGTGACTGGAAAGAGTATTCATTTTCATTATATTCCATGACTTTTGCCACACTTCCTCCCTCCCTGTAATGAATTGATAAAGATTTTCAGGTATCCTTTCAAGGACCTTTGCAGTGACAGGCCGACATCTTCACTGATTTGTATTATGTGACTCTGGCGTAAATAGAGAATTATTCTTCCATCTCTGATAACATTTTTATAAATTTGCTACATGAAATATTGCAGGCTGATGAAGATTTTTGTAAATTACTGTCAGAAATTGTGCATCCATGTCAGTACATTTCTATTATCAACAGATAACAGACAACAGATGAAGAAATCCTTTGTTTCTCCGATTAAAAGACTGAACAACAGATCTGTCTGAGATGAACATGTGCACTATTGTTAGTTAGTTAGAAATGTTTAAAATTCATGTACTTACAGCAGGTGTTTGTATGGTTGAATGTGTTTTTCCTACGGGGATCAATAAAGTATCTATCTATCTATCTATCTCTCTCTCTATCTATCTATCTATCTAACAGATTCACACATGAGCCAATGGTAGGCCGATACTTCCTAACTTGAAATATAAACATGACATCATCCACATCACAACATAAGAGAAAATTCACACACTTGCAGCTCACCTTGAGACAACACTGGCTAATGTGCTGCATCTTTGGAGCATGTCCAACCGGCAGGACAGATGTACATCGCTCAAGGTTACCCCTCGCAGCCATTCACACAACAAGGCTATTGTCCTGATGGGCTCACAGCTAATCAGCCTTCATTTAATTATGAAACAATATGCACAATGCACAAGCGCGATGTATGCTAGGCACATTGGGAATCAGTCATGGATCATGAATGTCTCCAAAATGTCAGGGGGATGGCAAGGCGGGACCAAAAATCAAAACGCAGATAAACAAGCTAATTCCTTCATGCATGGCTAATGACTCCTCTGGCCTTGCAGTCTGCTGGAACGAGAGTAAACAAGAACAAACATTTAAGTGCATCTTTCTCCCATTTTAGCCGTTCAGGTGCTCAGTTCAGCACAGGCCATTCAGGTAGGAAGGTAAATGGAATCCATAGCACTAAAGAGTCACAGTTAACCATCTGCTGTTTACTGTTTCTGAGTGAGAATCACACTGCAAGCCACATAGCACTTACCGGATGTATTCCAACACATGTCCGAGGCTGTATTTGCATAAAAGCTGTGATTGAGGTGATAAAGTTCCTTCTACTTTTAGCAATCTTTTCTCTGCACTTTTTCTATTATGATTCTACTGACAACACTCTCAAAACAGTGTGTTAGAGTGAATAAAACAGTGCTGATTTGACTGAAAAGAAAGTTTGTTTACATTATTATCAATTATTTAATTTAGCCACATCCTGTAATGAACGTTTTTCAAGTCCCCCTTCAAGGAACTTTGCTGTGACAGTCAAACATCTTTACTGATCTATATTTTGTGTGAATTATAATAATTCTTTCATTACTGATAGCTAGTAATAGTACTACTCTTCTTGATCTAAATTTTTTTTCAATATTTACAACCATTTACACTATTTACATGAACATTGCTGCCGGATGAAGGATGTTGTCAATAATTGTCAGAAATTGTGCATCCATGTTAGTACAAGTCTATCATCAACAGATCCACACATGAGTCCATGGTACTGTAGGCCGATGCTCCCTCGCATTCAACAGATCGGTCACCATTGGCCTTTTCCACGCCTCACCATTTGATGACGTCCCGGGACATCACTTCCCGTATTAGGTCTGAAACCAGTGGGGGCGGGTCCCGGCTCAAAAGTGGCCAAAATGATGTGCGCTGACATGCTTGCGATACCACCCCGGGCCGATGGGGGTGGACCCAGAATAAAAATTAGCTAACATATAGCATTGGCAGACCTCTCAAAAATGTCTTTACAGGATGGTCCAAAAGTTGGCTCTGGGGCCAAAGCTCCGTTCCACATGTGTGTCAATGCTGAGGGGGGTGGATTTTTTTGGACCACTCTAGTATACTTGGTACTTAGATGGAGCTTGCGCCGGCTGACACATGCGCAGATGCGTTTTTTCACAATTTTCTTGTGGGCGGGACCACTTGCGGTCATTTTGGATAGCTCCAGTAGAGCACTATTTTTGGCCCATTAGTTAGAACGGCAGAGCTAGGCGTGACTACGTCCACTAATTTTTACAGTCTAAGCCTGAAACTGGCAGATAAACTGAATCTGAATCCTTTGATGACTTTATTAAAATAATCTAGCTACACACCCACCCTAAGTGTGCAACCACAACTTTGAGACCTCGGGGGCTTGGCAAAACACAGATTAAAAGTGACAATAGATGTTTTTCCCTATTTTTAAGTCTGTTAAAAAGCCAGTGATTTTGTAATGCATTTTAATTAAATATTTAAAGAATACAATATCTGGAGGAAACTGTGGGCAATTTAACTTTCTGATTGCATCCCCTTGAGGAAGATGACCGCCAGAAATCTCCCAAACACAAGCTTACAAAAACTATGTTGGAATAAACACAATTATTTTCAATGTACAAATGAAAAAAAGCTGTGAGTGAGGTGATAAAGTTACTTCTACTTTTAATGATCCTTTCCCCTACACTTTTCTATTACGCACTTTCCACTGACAAGCAACCTCAAAAGAGTATGTTAGCGTAAAGAAAACAGAGCTGATTTAACTTTGAAGTATTTTACGAAG